CCCCCTCTCTCCCTCTCTCCCTCTCTCCCCTTCTCCTCTACTCCTCTCTGCATTCACTCAAGTATTTTCACCACAGTTTAAGTGGAGAAATACCAAGGAGTATTTCCTTGGTGTAAACAATCCATATATTATATCATTCTCTACATCCTAGCTTCTTTATAATATCTGACCCAAGGGATGATTCACTGGCCAGTAAGTATGAGGTAAAGAATAAAACACTGCCACTCTTTTATTCTGAATAGAAATTCTAGTCCATATGTCTCCAAGACCTGGAGAAGATGTTTTCTTCCAGTCATGTGACATAATATATATAGCCTAGTGTGCTCCATATGTCTCAAGCACACATCCTGTTTCAAGTGCGGTGAGTTAGAGCTTTCCTTAAAATAATAAAGTTCTGCTTTTTATATATATTGTTGTTTCCTTCTTTCTTCACAAAGATCTGAGGATGAGAGGTTTTTAAACAGACTTTCTCAAGGTTACTCGGTGGGAAAGGATCCCAACGCTTCCTGTTTCTACAGAGAAGAAGGAAACAGAAAATTCCAAGAGAAGAATTACACTGGGGCCGCAGTGCTGTACTCTAAGGTAAAATGCTCCCAGCCCAGCATTTCAACATATTTCTGCAGAAGACAGAGCCATATTGCTAAATTTCATAGCCAGTGTTATTTTTGTTTATTACCTATGGATTGGATTTGAGAAAGTAAATTGGCAGAATTCTGCTGTTGGTTATATTCTAAAACAAAGATTACTTTATATGTCCTGAATTTCATCAAGAAACTGCTATTCCCATATTCCTTCAGACACCTCAAAGCAGTAGGCTTATTGGCCTCTTCCCCTGCCTTGCTGCATCTGTCAGCTCTCAGTAAATGATACGCCTTTTCTGTCTGATGGATGAGGCTGTTAGCTTGACAGCCCTGATTTAGAGGACAGTGAGGTTTTAGCTAGCCATAATGTTAGCTTACAACCCGAATGACTTAAGTTAGAAAAGAAAATGGGCTGATTTGCCACAGCCCAGCCGAACTCCATTTTGAAGATTGTAAGGGAACATATTAATATTAGTGGCAATCAACAAATATTTTTAATTATACTAACCATCAGTGAGCTATATTTTGGAGTAGAATCATGGCTTTTATCAGTGTAGGACTATTACTGGCCTGCTTCCATGGTAGGAACTGGAACAAGATCCCCTAAGAGATTTCTCTAGAGATCTAAATGTACTTAAAGCAAGAATGTATCCCTTGCTTCAGGTCTGTGATCTTGCATAGTACATTAAAAGAATGACAGGAAGGGGTTGATTGTGTAGCTTAGTAGTAGAGAGCTTGCCTAGCATGCATGGGGATCCTCAGTTGGATCCCAGCACAACCAAAAATTAATTAAAGTGTAAATGTGAAGAGCATACCTCTATTCTGAATCTTTAACAGGGCTATACTCAAAAGTTTGAATTTCCCAAAACCTGTCAAACCTACAGTTGCTTCTACCATTGATAAAAGGCCTGCTTTGTAGTAATACAACAAAGCATTGCGCTAAATAATGTAGGTTTAGAAGGATTAAAATCCATTAGATGTGATGATCCAATGATAAACGGCTTAATAGTTCGTTTTAGAGCTAATCTCTTCAGTTTTGTGCATGTATATCATTAGTGTGATCACATGGAAATCTGTTCAAGGAAAACATAAAAAGTGAAGCCAGTCAAAAAAATTAAGCTTGCTCTGGATATGGAGGGAGCTGAACTTCCTACTTCCTGAAGCTAGTACTTTGGTGATTATGGTACTTTGTAATTTTCTCGAAAGCTGTTATTTTCTTTTTTTTTTTTTAAGTAGTATTTGTTGTTTTCATCTGTAAAAGTAATATATGTTACTTTGGAAAATATATAGAAGTTTAAGGAATAAGAAAAAAATCCCATAACCAGTAATGGAAACTGCTAACATTTTTGCTTATATCCATCCAGCCAGACTATTTTCTATGAAAATGTTTTTCTTTTACAAAATTGGGGTAATGCTGCACTTAATGTTTTGTAACCTGTTTTTTCCCCCTTAAAAATTTATTGTGCCCATTTTCTCATGTTATTAAATTTTCCACTAGAACATGATTTTTTACAACTAGCTTAGTGTTCCCTTATGGAGAAGAAATGTACTTAATTTAACATCTAATGTTGGCTTATGTTTGGTATCTTCCTGCTATAATGAGCATCTTTTTATGTAAGTATTTCTATACAACTGATTGTTTCCTTAGGATAAATTAATCGAAGGGTAATTGCTGGATCACAGGGAACCTATTTTTAAACGCTTTGCTATTTGGTGTTGAATTGTTCTCAAGAAAAGAACTAATTAACATCCCTTCTGACAGTATAAGAATGTTCATTTCTCCATAGCTTAAAGTAATGCTAGTGATTATAGTTTTATTACTCTTATGTCTATTTTGGAATAGAAAATATGTTCACATACTTAGATTTCAAAAATTGTCTATTCTACTCCTGTCCTTAGTCACCTCATCTCCACAAGCTAGGATTGTTAAATATATTGTATTTCAGGCATATGTAAGTGAATAAAAGTAGCCGGGTACAGTGGTGTACACTTGTAGTCCAGCACTCCACGAGTCAGAAATAAGAGGATCACTTGAGCCCAGAAGTTTGAGACCAACCTAAGCACACCCTCATTTCTTTAAAAATGTTAAAGAATGAAGAAATGGGCCTGGTGTTTGGCTCAGTGGTAGAGCATGTGACTAATATGTACAAGGCTATGAGTTCCATCCCTGGAACCACAAACAAATAATCTTTCACTCCTACACATATACTTTCAGTTTACATAAATGATAACATTCTGTATATACTGTTCACCATATGTCATTTAATAATAGTTTGATGGCTGAGAACATAGCTAAGTAGTAGAATGCTTGCCTAGCAATGCACAAGAACCCGGGTTCAATACCCAGCACTACAAATAACAACAATAATGGTTTGAAGATCATTCCACATCAGTATATAAAGAGCTTCCTTATTCTAGCTAGACATGGTGGCACATGGGGTTTTTGTTTTGTTTTATTTTGTTTTTTTGTTACCAGGGATCTAACTCAGGTCCTTGCACTTGCAAGGCAGGCAGTGGAACCACTGAGCTAAACCCCTGGCCCATAGCATGTGTTCTTAATCCTAGCCCTTTGGGAGGTTGAGGCAGGAGGATCACAGGCTTGAGCCCAGCATGGGCAATTTACTGACTTAGCAAGATCCTTTCTCAAAATAAAATTTAAAAAGAGGTTATGGAGGTAGGTCACTGTGGAGGCCTTGGATTCAATCCCTAGTACTGCCAAAACAATTTATGATGAGAAACTTCACATATGTTATTTTACACATATATTTGTAGGATAAGTTCCTAGAAGAAGAATTGCTGGATCAATGGAAATTTTATATGTATATATAAAAATATAATATCTAAAACTTTGATGTAAAGTGCTCAGTTGCCCTTCCTAATCATTAGATCAATTTACACTCCTACTAGCAACATAAGAATGTCTTTTGTCCCTTCTTTTGCCAACTCATTGTGTTATTATTTTTTTCTTTGCCAAATTGATAGGTAAAAAATGGTATCTCAGTACAATTTTGATTTGCATGGTTGATGATGAAAGAAGTTGAGCATTTTCTCAAAATTTTAAGAGTCATTGTATTTCTCATAAGAACTGTCTGTTCATTTGCATATTTTTCTATTGATGTATTGGTTGTCATCCTATTGATCTGTAGAAACACTTGATAAAGAAATTAGCTCTTGAGCCGGGCATGGTGGCACATGCCTGTAATCCTAGCACTCGGGAGGCTGAGGCAGGAGGATCATTGTGAGTTCAAAACCAGCCTGGGCTACATAGTGAGTTGCAGGTCAGTCTCAACTGCATAGAGAGACCCTGTCTCAAAAAACAAAAAAAAAAAGAAAAGAAATTAGCTCTTTGCCTATAATGTATTTTTTCCAGTCTAGTGTTTGCATCTTGATATTGCTTTTATTGGTTTTTGCTGTGAAATTTTTTATTTTTATGTGGTCAAATGTATTAACCTTTTTCTGACTTCTGGAGTTTGTGTTATAATTGGAAAGTGATTCCTCTAGCATTACTTTAGACTATTCCTATATTTTCCTCCAATGTTGTTGTAGTTTCATCATGAAGTGTGAGCCTTTTGAAGGGAAGGAGATGTAACTTAGTGGTGGAAGCCTTAGCATATGTGAGGCCCTTGGGTTCAATTCCTAGTACCCCTCCTGACCCAGAAAAAGTTTGAACAATTTGGAATTACCCAATGAAAGGTTTAGCATATGTTAAGCTAACTTATTTTTCCTTAGAGGTTGTTCACTTGCCCCAATAACTTCGTTGAATAATTCCCATCTTTTCTTGCCAGTTTGATGGGAGAAAAAAGTATCCCTTTTTGTTGCTTTCATTTGCATATATTTGGCTATCCTTATATGAATTGCTTTCCATATGTTAACTATTTGTGTTTCTTCTTCAGTAAATTTCTATTTGTGACATCCACCCTTCCTTCCTTCCTCCCTCCCTCCCTCCCTCCCTCTCTCTCTCTCTCTCTCTCTCTCTCTCTCTCTCTTTTTGTACTGGCGATCAAACTCAGATCCTTGGGTTTCTGAAGCAGGCAGCTGAACCACTGAGCTAAATTCCTGGCCCCATCCACTCTTTCTTTTTTTTAATTTTCTTTTTCAGTTTTGTTGTGATCTGATTTCTTGATGATAGCCATTCTTTTTGGAATAAGGTAAAATCTTGTTGTTTTAATGTCTCTAATAGCCAGAGATGTTGAACATTTTTTCATATATTTATTGGTCATTTGTATTAGATCTTCCCCCAGAGCCTCAGACACTCATAGGTGGGTCTTGTGGGAGGTGACTGGATCATGGGCATCTCACACTGGATCATCAGTGTGTGATACTGGATTAGTCTGCTGATAAGTTTACAGCTGAGTGTGCTGTTGGGAGGTGAAGCCTGGTGGGAAGTGTTGGGTCACTGTGAGCGTGGCCTGGAGGGTTATGTTGCTTATCCCCCCTTGATTTCTCCCTGCTTCCTGCCTTCCATACCATGCCTCCTTTTCCATGTTCTTTGCCACACTGCCTCGTGCTAGACGATTATAGACTGAAACCTCTGCAAACTGTGAGCCAAAATAAACCTTCATTCTTTAACTTGTTAGTGTGGGGTATTAATTATGTCCCAGCAGCAAGAAAGTAACTAAGACAGACATCTACCCTTGTTCTTTTCCTTCTTTTTTCAGTTTTGTTTTGTGATTTTATTGTTATCTGATTTCTTGATGATAGCCTTTTTTTTTGTACCAGGCATTGAACTCAGGACCTTGCGCTTGCCAGGCAGGCAGCACAACCAACCACTGGGCTAAATCCCTGGCGCTGATAGTTCTTTCTGGAGTAAGATGGATTCTCATTGTTTTTTAACTGCTAATGGGCCCGGGGATTTAGCTCAGTGGTTCTGCTGCCTGCCTGGCGAGTGCAAGGACCTAAATTCAATCCCTGGTACAAAAAAAAAAAAAAATTGTCTAGAGATGTTAAACATTTTTTTCTTGTATTTATTGGTCATTTGTATTTCTTCTGAGAAGCATTTGTTCATTTCAGTTGTGTATTTTTGATTGGGTTGTATTTTGGGGGATTTTTTTTTTTTTTTTTTTTTTTTTTTTTTTTTTTTTTTTTTTTTTTTTTTTTTTTTTTTTTTTTTTTATATTTTTTTAGATATTTATCTTCTGTCTGGGGAATAGCTGCAGAAAAACTTTCCCATTCTGTAGATTGTCTCTTCACTTTGTTGATTGTTTCCTTTGCTATCCAGAAGCTTTTTAATTTAGTATGATCCCATTTGTTGATTCGTGGTGTTATTTCTTGTGCAGTTGGTGCTATATTCTGGAAGTCCTTGTCTATGCCTATGTCTTCAAGAGTTTTACATATTTTATCTTCCAGTAGGTTGTTTCTGGTTTTCTTTTTTATTTTGTTTTGAGATAGGGTCTTGCTATATAGATTGCAGTAACCCTAAACTCACTATGTAGCCCCGCTTCTGTGTAGCCTGCAGGCTCTGCCTCTCTGTGTTGAGATTATAGGTATGCACCATCACACTGTTGTTTTGTTTGTTTATTGTTTGGGGTTTTTGAGACAGGCTCTCACTATGTAGCCCAGGCTGGCCTTGAACTCACAGGGATCCTCCTACCTCAGCCTCTCAAAGTGCTGGAATTACAGTATGTGCCACCTGGCCTGGCTGTTTTAATATTTATGTCTTTGGTCTGTTTTAATTTTAGTTTAGTATGTGGTAAGAGAGATGGGTCTAGATTCAATCTTTTGCATGTGGGTAGCCTGTTTTCCCAACACCACTTATTAAAGAGGCTATCTTTCTACGTTTTGCGGGGGGGTTTTGGTCAAAGATAAGGTAGCTAATATTCGTAGTTGTTTTGCATCCTCTATTCTATTCCACTGATCCACATGTCTGGTTGGTGTTTATTTTGTTTTTTCCTAATACCAGGCTGTGTTTATCACTGTAGCTGTGTAGTATAACTTGAAGTCCAGTATTGTGATGCCTCCTGCCTTGCTCTTGTTGCCCAGGATTGCTTGCTTTTCTATTCTAGATCTCTTCTCCTTCCGTATAAATGTTAGGATTGCTTCCTATAATTCTGTGAGAAATAGTATTGGTATTTTGATCAGGATTGTGTTAAATTGTACATCAATTTTGGAAGCAAGGCTATTTTAAATACATTGGTTTTGCCTATTCAGGAACAGGAGATATCTTTCCATTTTCTGATGTCCTCTTTGATCTCCTTTTTCAGAGTACTGTAGTTTTCATTGTAGAGGTTTTTCATTTCCTTGGCTAGGTTAATTTCTGAGTATTTAATTTTTCTTGATGCCATTATGAAAGGTATTGTTTCTAATTTTTTCTTGTTGAGTTTATTATTGATGTACAGGAACACTACTGATTTTTGTGTGTTGACTTTGTATACTCCTTAATTACTGAGTTTGGTTATTAATTCTAGCAGTCTTTTGGTGGACCTTTTTGGTTTCGTTTGTTCGTTCGTTTGTTTGTTTGAGGCAAGATCTCTTGCTATGTAGTTTTAGCTGGCCTCAAGCTCACTATATGGCCCAGGCTGGCCTCAAGTTCTCAGTGATCTTCCTACTCAGCCTCCCAAATGTTAGGGATCTTACATGTTGAGGATCATGTCATCTACAAATAATGATAATTTGACTTCTTTCCCTGTACATATCCCATTTATTTCTTTCTCTTGCCTGATTGCTCTGGCTAATGTTTCAGGAACTAGTGAACAAGGCTGGGACTTTAGCCCAGTGGTTCCGCTGCCTACCTCACAAGCATGAGGTACCAAGTTAAATCCCCAGTACCAAAAAAGAACTAGTGAACAGTAGTGATGATAGTGGATATCCTTGGTTTGTCATAAATGGCTTTTATCAGATTGAGGTAAGGTCTTTCTATACCTTTTTTTTTTCAGTACTGTTATCATGAACAGCTGTTGGATTTTGTCCAAGACTATTTCTGTGTCAGTTGAGATGATCATGTGATTTTTGTCCTTACTTCTGTTTATGTGATGATGTATTATATTTATTGATATGCATATATTAAACCATCCCTGAATCCCTGGGATGAATCCTACCTGGTCATGATGTATGATTTTTTTGAAGATTTATTGAGTCCTGTTTGCCAGTATCTTGGTGAGGATTATTGTATCTATGTTCAGTAAGAGATTGGCCTGTAGTTGTCTTTTTTGATTGAGTCCTGTACTGGTTTTGGAATCAGGAAAGCTGGCTTCCACTAATGACTGGAGGAGTGTTGGTGTTAAATCTTCCCTAACATTCTTGTAGAATTCCAGCAGTGAATCCATCAGAACCTGGGCTTTTTTTTTAGTAGATAGGTTTTTGTTGGTTTGTTTTTTGTATTGTTTTTTTGGAGGGTGTACTGAGAATCAAACTTGGGTCTTTGTGGTTGTGAGGCAGGTGGCGGAACCACTGAGCTAATCACTGGCCCAGGTAGGTTTCAAATCACTTTCAATCTCCTTGTCTGATACTGAGTTATTCAGGGTTTTTTAAATTCATTAATTTTATTGGTAGATTTTAGGTATATAATATCATGACATTCATCATTAGGAATTTGTGCCTTTGCCTGATACATCTTGGTTTTTATTTTTTTCCCCATTCCCATGCCCTCCCTTTAACCCCTCCACTCTTCCCTATTTATAAAGACTTTGTTTCAATTTTTTCCTTTTCTCATATTTATTCCTTTTCTTTCTTTCCTCTCCCCTACCCCTCCTACTTCCCCTTTGGACCTTTTCTTCCTATTTCACATTACCTATTATACATTTTGATCATTATTTAAACTTTCAGTTTCTCACACCAGAGAAACTATTTGATATTTACATATATGTGTCCTATTTATTTCACTAAAAAGTATGGCCTTGGGTCAGGGATTTAGGTCAGTGGTTCTGCTTCCTGTCTCGCAGTCATAAGGACCCAAGTTGGATCCCTGGTACCAAAACAAAAAAGTATGGCCTCAATGTTCATCCATTTAGCTATGTCTCTAGTTTCTCAGTCTTTATGGCTGTACTTCGTTTTATTTACAAACCACATCTTCTTTAGAGATATTCAGGTTTTTTATGTCTTCTTAGTTCAGCCTTGGTAGTTGATATGTATTTAGGAATCTAGCCATTTCTTCTGAATTCTTCATTTTACAGATTCTCAAAGTAGTTATTAATAATAATCTTCTGGATTTTGGCAGCATCCATAGTGATTTTGCCTTTTTCATATCTAATTGAATTGATTTGGGTCTTTCCTTTTCCACATTGGCCAGAGGCTTGTCTCTTTTGTTTCCAAAAAATAGCTCTTCGATTCATTGATTCTTTGTATTGTTTTTTTAGTCTCAATTTCATTAATTTCTGCTCTGATCTTTATAATTTCCTCCTACTAGCTTTGGGTTTGAGTTGTTCTTCTTTTTCTAGGACTTTGTGCATCATTTAGATTATGTCTTAGTTACTTTCTTGTTGCTGACATAAGTTAAAGAAGGAGAGGTTTATTCTGGCTGATAGCTTGTAGAGGATTTAGTCCATAGTTGGCTGGCTCCAAGACAGGGTGGCATGGCCTGATAGTGGGAAGCACAGAACCATCAAAGGGAGATGATGGGAGAGAGACCCTTCCCAGCCTTGTCTCCAGTGACCCACCCCTCCAGCCAGGCTTCACCTCCCAACATTATATTTACTATAAACTCATCAGTGGGCTAATCCACTGATGGCTGTCACACCCCACAATCCCAATCACCTCCCCAAAACCCCACCTGTGAGAGCCTGAGGCTTTGGGGGGACATCTAGAGATAAACTATAACAGGTTGTTTATTTGGACTCACTCTGTATTTCTGGTGTAAGCATTGACAGCTATAAACTAGTTCATTGTTTTGCAGGGAGTTTCACATTCAAGGCCTAACACTGAGGAGATTTCACTGTGCTATGCTAATCGCTCTGCGGCCCTGTTCCACCTGGGTCAGTATGAAGTGAGTATCAGTACGCCTGGTGTCATTCCTGGGACTTCACTGGAGGACAAGGCCTCTGTCTCCTTTCTTAGAAGACAGAAATCAGGCTGTACTTCTGTTGGCTGAATTGGAAGCACATTGATATCCATCCAAATTTTTTCTTTTCATTAATTTGCCTGTCACATGTGGCCATACAGAGTAGTGCTGGTTGACAAGAAAAAGCTATGACACACTGGATGGGAGCATAAACCAGATCCATTAGGCTAGCAGTTCTCAGTGTTGAGATCAGCTGTATGATATATTGTTAATAATACTTTTGGTTCCAAGTGTGTCCATAGTATTTATATGTTCATTTATTTAGTTCAAACATGTAGGGCATTTTGAAGATTATCCCTGTAATAATATAGCTTTCCCTCAAGCATGGAGTATGGGAAAATTAAAGGTGCCCTGAAATGCCTATGAATGCCTGTAAGGTAGGCTTCTCTATGAGTGGCTTTCTTGTCGTCTCTTAATGTGTCAACAGAAAAAAAAAAATGTTCAGAATTGTGTCAGTGGAGTTTATAAAACAGGAAATGACGACAATCGGATTTATGTTCAGGAAGATACCTGTGAGGCCTCTGAAGTTTACACTAGAGAGGCCTAAGAGCAAGCCATAAAATGCCATTTAGTACAGTAGTACCTCAGTATTCATCATTAATGGTTCGGGGAAGCACAATGGATAACAAAACAACAAGTACAAAACTAATTATTTTGTCTAGAAAGGGTAGTGAGTTGTGAGGCAATTGACACTGGCAAATTCTAGCTTGCCTGTCAAGTACCAAACAAACAATAGGTGCTAGGACAGAATCTTCAAGTCAAAATGCATCATGTACCAAATTCGACAAGTTTTGAAGAAATTAAGAACCAAGGTATAACTACATTCATTTCAGAATTCTACAGAAACTCAAATTATACCTTTATACCTTAGAATTTAAAACTATTGTAATAGTCACATGTTCACACTTACTGCCCTTCAGACTAAAAGAACAGATTGAGAATCTAACTCTAGGACATAAGCAAGAAAGTCCTGGGATACTAAGAACAGGTCTTAGAAGAACTTGAAAAACAATGAACTCTTTATAACTTCCCTGTATTGATTGTTTCTGTATTGTTTCTTCTAATGATTCCTGTTTATTGAGCACATAGTATATTCTAGGCACTCCTTTTAGCAGTTCAGATAGATTACTTTATTTCATCCTTAAAACAACTTGGTAAGGTATTTTCATCCCTGTGTTTCAGATGAAAAAATTAAGACCCAGGCTGGGGATTTAGCTCAGTGGTTCTGCCGCCTGCCTTGCAAGCGCAGTTCCTGAGTTTGATCCCCAGTACCAAAAAAAAAAGAAAGAGAAAACTAAGACTCAGTGAAATTAAGTTCTTGAATAAGGTCATGCATCTGTGGAGGCATAGTATTTGAATGCAGATTTGTTTGGATTCAGAGTCTGCCCTCTTAAACTCTCTATAATTCTATACAGCACTATTTCTTTTCTTTTCTTTTTTCTATTTTTAAGAAAATAGAAATATTTAATAAGAAAAATTAAACATAATATCCTCGCCGGTCATGGTAGAGCACACTTATAATCCTATCACTCAGGAGGCTGAGGCAGGAGAATTGCCACAAGTTTGAGGCCAGCCTGGGCAATTAGTGAGCTCAAGGCCACCTTGCACTACATAGTGAGATCGTGTCTCAAAAAAACAAGCAATAACAACAAAAAATAATATCTTCAACAATTAAAAGATCACACAGAGTCTAAGGCTGTAGACCAATTGCAGAGCATATGTTTAGCATATACAAACCCCTGAGGGAAAGAAAAAAATAAGCCCTGAGAATTGTGTCAGCGGACTTTTTACACTTGATCTTAGCCAAAAGTCTGAGAAGCGATTCAGTGGAGTTTTTAAAACAGGAAGTAACCAAAATATACTAATAATTCTTAACTTTCCTGTAGATTTTTGGAAAGATTTTTCCATACAGATTGCAAGATAAGGACCAAGGATCATCTTGGGATTTCTGTTCTGTTTTCAGACCTGTCTCAACGATATCATCAGAGCACTGATGCATGGATATCCAGAAAGACTGCAGCCCAAGCTGATGTTGCGTAAGGCAGAGTGCCTGGTGACCCTGGGGAGACTGAAGGAAGCAAGCCAAACTATCAGTGATCTTGAAAGTAATGTCACTGAGAGACCAACACCAGCAGCTTCTCCCTTTCAGATTCTGCAGAAAAACCTCTGTGATCTGAAAATGAAGATACAAGAAAAGGAGAATCTACCAGAAACCTTCCTCACAGCTGTAGCCAAAGACTTTGAGCGTATGGACCTAAGGGAGGAGAATGAACAAATTCCTAGTGCATCATCATCTGTCCAGTTACGCACAGACCCTTTAAAAGGCCGCTACCTGATTGCCATAAAAGACATTCTCCCGGGAGAAATCCTAGTGAAGGAGGATGCTTTTGTGAGTGTCCTCAACCCAGGAGAAATGCCACCACTGCATCAGGGTTTAGAGAGCAGGTGGGATACCAGGATTACCACTGGGGACCTCTACTGTCACAAATGTTTGAAACATACTTTGGCCATGGTTCCCTGCCATGGATGTAGCTATGCCAAGTATTGTAGCCAGGAGTGTATGCAGCAGGCCTGGGAGCTGTACCATAGCATAGAGTGTTCTTTAGGGGGGCTATTGCTCACACTGGGTACGTTTTGCCACATTGCTCTGAGGTTGACTCTTTTGGCTAGATTTGAAAATGTGGACAAAGTTGTAAGGGGGATTTGTGATGAGATTAATAACAAGGACATACATTTACCTGGAAGCAAGACTCTGGACAAGACATTCAACTACAGCCAGGGGAAAAGAGAAGAAATTAGCAAAACAGTTGAGACTCAAATTCCTGGATGTAATATTGATGGGAAGTATGAAAATAATTATAATGCTGTCTTCAGTCTTTTGTCCCATACTGAAAACCATAGCCCAGAGCATAAATTTCTCTGTGCTCTCAGTGTCTCTGCACTGTGTAGGCAACTTGAAGCAAACAACCTGCCTGCCCTCACTACAGATCCGAAAGCAGAAATGACTCCTGATTCATGTGCAGATTTGAACATTTGGGCAGTGGCTATGCTGCGACACTTGTTACAGCTGCAGTGTAACGCTCAGGCAATAACTACCATACAGCACACAGGTAAGAGAGAGATCTATGTTTCTGCCTTATAATCTTGGTGTGGCTCATGTTTGGGAAGAAAGAACTGGAATGGAAAAAAAGCATTCAAACATATTAGTGATCTAATAAGGAAACAGCTGTTGTATATTATCATCATTATGCCATTGAGAAGCTATGTGACCTTAACAAATTATTTTATCTTACTCTTCCTCAGTTTTCTCATCTGTAAAATACACAATTTTATTGTACCTAACTTTACAGAATTTTGTGTGTTAGCAAAAATTATTTAAAAAGTTAAAATGCACATAACAGATTTTTTATTACGAAGGAAAACTATCTTAAATAAATTAAGCTGTAGAAATAATAGCAAGTCTGTCATAAGGACATACATGCTCACCAATCCAGAGAAAGCTAAATAGTTTTTTTTTCCCTCAGAAAGGGGAGAAATTGTCAAAACAGACTGCAGAGAGAATAGGTTCTATAGTTGACTAAGGTATCAGATGTTTAACTCATACTCTCTTCTCTTTCCAATCAACAGGTTTTTTTCCCCATTCTTCTAAATTTGCAAGGAAAGACTCAGCCCAGTACAGCTTTTCACACTGAACTACATTATAAACTCTTGGCCACTCTGCAAATAGCCCATCCTTTGGTCTGACCATTCATCAGAGGGCCACCCACCTGTACACATAGACCAGCCAGTCTAACCCTGTTTCTTTTTCTTTTTTTGTTTTTTGTTTTTCGTTTTTTTTGAGAGAAGGTCTCACTATGTAGTCGAGACTGACCTGGAATGCACTATGTAGTCTAGGCTGGTCTTGAACTCACAGTGATCCTCCTGCCTCAGCCTCCCAAGTGCTGGGATTACAGGCGTGCGCCACCATGCCCGGCAAGTCTGGCAAGTCTCGCCCTGTTTCTGAACTGGATTCTAAAATAAGACTAAACTAAATAGGGAGCCAGGTGTGGTGGCACTGTAATCCCAGCACTTAGAAGGCTGAGGCAGGAGGATTGCCCAAGTTCAAGGCCAGCCTAAACTACATAGTGAGACCCTGTCTTCAAGAGAAAGAAAAAAAGAAATAAAAAAGAAACTGTGTTTCCAGTATTTCTAGTGTATGATCTCCATTTCAGCAGAAAATATCTCATAATTCTAGCACTTTTCTGAACTAATCTAGTTAACTCTTAAAAAGAGGAAACCAAGTGTTAGCTAAATAGGATTCATAAACAGAATAATAATCAATGGAGTTTAAACTGTACCTGCTTAGTTCTTCTGATCTTTCCCACTGGATAATATAGAACTTATCAAGCAAGACTTTATGTCTGTATCTTTATGTTTAGTTTAAATGAAGTGGAATATAGGTGTATAGGAATCTCTCTCACTAGCAGTATTTTGGGACATAGGACCTTGTGCTTATTAGGCAGGCGGCAGCACCACTGAGCTAAATTCCCAGCCCCTCTTTTCCCTATCTTGAAGCACATGGAGCATCCAGAAATAGCACCAGCCTGGTCTTGTGGTGCTACTAAAGCATATTTGCATTTAGTTTCTGTTTTCTCCTTTACCTTTTTTTTTACTTCTTTTAGCCAATGCTACCCTAGGACTAAAAGTATCAAAAACCTTAACAGTGATTAATGTTGTGAGTACAAATATGAGTGATTCCTACTTTCTTTTTTAGAGCTGTATGTATTTTTAAAATTAACACTATTAACGCAAAAGTAAACAATATACCAGTAAATTTTAAAATGAGTTATATACTTTTCCCATCATTCTAGGGGGGAAAAATAGTTTATAGACCAAAAGATAATAAAATGAGTCTACCATAGTAAATATAAATAGGTTAAACTCTCCTATTAAAGGAGTCTTTCAGAATGGGTCAAAATTTTTATTTTATTTTATTTTATTGTGAGAAGTTTCACTGTGCAGTCCAGGATGACCTTGAACTCACTATGTAGCCTAGGCTAGTCCTAAATTCACAATAATCCTCCTGCCTCAGCGTCCCAAGGGCTGGGATTACAAGTATATGCCTCCATGTCCAGCCCCCCCAAAATTAAAATCCAACTGTATTCCATTACCAGTGACTCCTATAATAAAATAATGCCGAGTGTTTGGCAAGTTACATCAGGCATCACAAACAAATCAAGATACTGGTATTAATATGAAGCTATAGAACTGAGGGTAAGATACCAAGTAAAACAAAGAAAGCTTTTCATTTTTATAAAGGACACTCTCCACACTGAAATATATCATCAACCTCAGCTCTCAGAAACACAGATTGTATCCATAAACAAAAATGTTAAGTATATAGGAAAAGCTTGACAAAAACTCCATGTTGTGAGAAAATTTAATATACCATTCTGACTTTGATCAAATATATTAAGAACCTAGAAACCAAGAAAAAGTAATAAACCTGGTTTATTGTCTGGCAGTATATACTGGTCTGTCAAAGCTTGTGTCCCACAGATCATATGTCATGAACTTTTTCTGAGGGTCCAGTAGTAAATATTTTAGGGTTGTAAACCGTATGACCACTGTGGCATTGTTCAGCTCTGCTGTGTAGCATGAGAACTGTCAGACAATATGTACACAAGTAGGCATGGCTGGGTTTCCACAAAAGTTTATTATAGACACTGAAATGTACATAATTTTTCACATGTCAGGAGAATTATTCTTTGGGGATTTTTAACCATTAAAAAAATGTACAAACCATTGTTAGACTGTAAAGAAACAGGCAACATACAAGATTTGGCCCACACACTGCAGTTTACAGATTCTGATGTAGACAAAGATCTGGCAAATCTAGGAAATGTTTCAGGTAGGGGGGACCCACATAATTAGGAACAATGAAGGAGATGTTGTGTAAATTCTGTTTTCTTTTTATTGCTACTGAGTTTTTGTTTGTGTTTTTTAGACAGTGTGCACACTGGCTGTGAACTCCATGTATATCCGAGCCTGGCCTCAAACTTATAGCTCTCCTGCCTCAGCCCCCTAAACGCAAGGATTACAGGAGGCCTGCGCCTTGCACCCACTAAATTTATTTTTAAATTAAAAAAAAATTATGGTGCCAGACACTGTTGTGCAAGCCTGTAGTCCCGTCTATTTGAGGCAAGAAGATTGCTTGGACCAAAGGCCAGCCTGGCAATATAGTAAGATTCTGTCTCCTTTAAAAAATAGTAACATAATTTTTAAACTATCAAATTTGGAAATACTAAGTAGACAGTTTTTAGAAGATGCATATTGCCTAAGTTGTCCCAGAAAGGGGGGGCACTAAAAAACAGTGATTCTAGAAGAATCAAGTTATTAATTTTTTTTGGGGGGGTGCTTGAGACGGTCTCACTATGTAGTTGAGACTGACCTGGAACTCACTGTTTAGCCCAGGCTGTGCTTGAACTCACAGCAATCCTCTTGCCTAGGCCTCCCAAGTGCTGGGATTACAGGTGTATGCCACTACGCCCAGCTAAAATATTTCCATAAAAAGCTGTGGGCCAGGGATTTAGTTCATTGCTGCTGCCGCCTACCTCACAAGCACAAGGTCCCGGGTTTGATCCCTGGTATGAAAAAAAAAAAAAAAAGACAGTTGTGCTGGACATGTTGGCACATGCCTGAGATCCCAGCACCCTGGGATCAAGTTTGAGACTAGACTAAGCAACTTAGTGCTTTGGTAAGACCCTGTCTCAAAATTTTAAAAGGGCTGAAAATGTAATTCAATGTGAGAGCTCTCGGTTAAATCCTCATTACTGCAAATGCAGAAAAAATAAGTTAAAAATTAGGGGTTTTCCAGTTGTGGTTGTACACACCTATAATTTCAGCTTCGTAGGAGGCTGAGGCAGGAGGATTTCAAGTTTGAGGCCAGGCTAGGCAATTTAGCTGAGTCAAATGGAAGGCACTCATTCAAATTAAAAAATAAAAAGGGCTGGGAATGTAGCTCAGTACTCCATGGGTTTAATTCCCATTACTGGGCAGTGGGTGGTGGTGAGGAGCTTCTGCATAGCTGAACCTGTGAGAGTTTCTGGTGGTGGCACACCCAGAGAGGGTATGGGGGCTTCCCACATACCCTGTACATCTCTTGTCATATAGTTTGGGATAAACCAGTAAGCATGTTTGAAAGGATCCATACTAAGTGCCCCAGGTCCTTTCCCTGGGTACCTTGCTCACCTCTGGGCCCCGCCCCTGGCCACTCCCCTGGTCTCAGGGAAGCTTGAGATCCTGCTTGTCATAGGCACCCTGGACACAGGCCAGTTCCTCGATGATTGGGAGAGCAATAAATGGGCACTGTGTACGCCAAAAAGAACAAGGCAGCTTTTTCTATAAGGAAAGATATACTACATCTAAGTGAGAAGAAAAAACCTTGCAGCATTCAAGAGTATGATACCATTATGTAAAAATCTAAAAAACAAACAACAACAAAAACGTAGGTTTTAAAGCTAAAAAATGAAAATGAAACCATGTAACATCTTGAAAAAGATAAGTGAACAACATTTATGCAATCTTAGGGATGGGACAAGCTTCCAAAAGTATATAACATCAAATTTGGACAATTAAAAAATAGCTAGTTTTAACTTTCTAAATACCAAATCTGTATCAAAAACACCATAATAGGCCTGGCATCCACATACTTGTAATCCAGCACCCTGGGAAACTGAAACAAAAAGACCCCAAGTTTGATTTTTTTTTTTAATTTGTTTTTTTGAGACAGGGTCTTGCTGTGTATTTCAGGCTGGCCTTGAACTCGCTGTGTAGCTCAGGCTGGCCTCGAACTCATGGCAATCCTCTTGCCTCAGCCTCCCAAGTGCTGGGATTACAGGCATGTACCACCATGCCAAGCTGAAGATCTTAGCAAGATCTTATCTCAAAAAAATTTTTTTTAAATAAAAATCTCCAGGCATAGTGGGCACACTCCTGTAATCCCAGCACTTGAGAGGCTGGTTCATGAGAATCCTCACAAGTTTGAGGCCAGCCTGGACAACAAAGCATGACCCTGTCTCAAATCCACAATAACAACAACAATAATAATATAATAATAATTAAAAAGCGG